ATCCTGTGTTTTCCTCTAAAATGTGATGCAACTTTTGAATTCTTCTTTGGTTCAGCATTTGTTCATTTAGCGTAATATTAAACTTTGTTAGTCTGGAACTGATCTCTGCTGGGTTGATATGATGCCGGAGCTTGGTGTCAGAGCAAGGGTCTTTAAAAAAACCTTGGCTTTATTTCTTTGCTTCCATCAACAAGAATTTGTTGATGCTGATCTGTGGTATTCCGTGGCCCTTCTCTACTGGTTGGAAGTGCTAAGTCCTAAATTAAACCTGTATTTTCTGATGGCTTCAAGGACCTGATGCAAGCTGACTATGACAATGCTCTGCAAATTACACTGTTCACATCCCTCAGTTCTGTTCCAGTGGCTTGCCTTTAACTAAGCCGTGCCGTTCTTTGCTTGCAGGCAGTCTGGGACAGGAGAAATTCATAAGCTAGTAAAGAGAAGGAAAGCTACTCAACAGCTACTCAGTGGGGGGTGGGTCTCTGGGGAGGATGCAGGAAGTGATGTGTTTAAGCACAGATGTGTGTGCCCATTCATTTTAGACCACAGCAATTCCTGGAGCTGGTCTCCAGCCACCAGAGGGGGTGGTGCAGCTCCGTAGGCTGAAGATCTTCGCATTGTAAGAGCATGTGGTAGGATAGGCTTTCTTCTGGCAAAGAAGGGGGATGGCATATTCCCTGGTCTGCAATAGGAAGCCAGCCTCTTATTGCTGCAAGGGATTCATTGAACAGGCAGCTCCACAAGAAAGATTTGTTGATGAGAGCTCTGTGAAGTCTATTCTCACACATCCATCCGGTTCTACTGGAAGGTGGGGGAGACAGATCTTAATTCATGTAGCTTTTCATTCCAGTGAAAGCCACGGAAACTGTAGGCACAAGAAACTCGTTTGCGAAAAGAAAAACAGTTCCCAAGATTCAGTTGCTCAGAAGAGCTCAATGAATTCTGAAAACAGGGTTGTTTTTTTTTCATTTGCTTGCCAAGAGAGACCGAGCCTCTGATTTAACTCTAATCATGCAAGAATGTGGATGTAGATGTAGATCAGAAGAGGTGCCCCTTTCAAGGCATTGCAGTAGGCATAGATGGTACCCCGAATTACAGCAGCTCCAGATCAAGGAAGCAGTACACAAACACTAATCTATTCATTCATGCAGATTGTCTCTAACTAGTACTCTTTTTAAAAATCTTGGATCAGGGGTGCGATGCATGTAAAAAGTGTGGGGCTTAAGATAGTTCAGCTATAAGATGGCTTTCCTTTATTACTTTGGCTTCCTAGAAGGCCGAGGGGACTTGCTTCCCATCAGAGCCCTGACTTTGGATGGAGGCACCAATGTCAGCATTTTTATTTAAAGAAGTTGGCAACAGATGGGGACAGCCCAGTGGAGCACCTTGAGTGAGATCATGTCCTGAACCCAGAACTGCATGCCCCCAAGAAGAACAGCATCTGCCAATGTTACGCAATGTACAACTGCAAGTCCTTTGTCCACAATGTTTATTTGAAGGCTAGGCATGGACTTTGAGTGTGTAAATCGTTCCTGTCCCTTCCTTTCCCTGCAGCCACCAGGATAAGTGGTGGATAAATGGGGCCAGGACAACGTAGTCTGCCCTCCCTCCCCAACTCCTGGTACCTGGATGTTGCCTCACTGTGCCCATTTGTAGAGCTGGCCTTGGAATGGACTGGTGGGATACAGGGATGGCTTTCTGTGAACATTCCTAAATTAATTTCTCCTGTGACCCAAGCTTGGTTAAGTATGACTTCTTATCAGGTCCTATTCCACGTCATTTCAGAAAAGCCATCAGATGCCCCAAAGAAACCCAGATTGCTTCAGGAGGTACTTGAAGGGCCCAAAGTTTTCACTTTCCAAATAATTAAACAACCTCAGTTCCACGTTAATTCTAAATGGATTACTCCAGAAGAAGCCTGAAACTTTTTATTGTTGACACTTTAGAAAGCACATTTCTAAACTGTTTCGGCCCTAATTACAAATGCTGGTGGTGATCTTTAAAATCCTTTCATAATACCCAAATCTATTTTATAACCTGAATCTATTAAGTATTATGGAGAAAATCTATCTATGGGGTCACTAGGAGTCGAAAACAACTTGGTGGCACATAATCAATCAAATCGATAATATCTAAAGGTGTTTTAAATAGTGCTGCTTGTTCATTTAAATTGCTTAGATCAAGTTCTTTCTTCCATGTGCTATGGCTGAAGGAAGATAAGTGGGTTACAAGGAAGTAAACTCTCTCTAAGGAGGCCCACCTGGTCCTACATTGCTCTCATTTTGGTACTGAGTTAAAATATCCCTGTTTAACAATGTTAATATTTTATGTCCTTGTGCTAGATGGAAGTACCAGCTTTTAGATATTCTGTGCTAGCAATTGTTTCATGGTTTTTGCTGTGTTTTATAACAAACGTTTTACCTTTCGTAGAAGAATCAAAGTTCATAATTTCCCCTCTCGAGCTTTATATATCATCTCTCCCAAAAGAAAAAAACAAAAACAATTTATGATAGTAAATTAACTGGCACAGGGACGTATGGTGGAAAGAACAGTTCGGGATAATTCTGAACCCAGGCACACACTTTTCCATTGCATTTTGTGGAGAGTAAGAATAGAAAAGACGGAAATCTACACAAACAGGCTCTTCTTTATTTTTTTCAAATGTCAAGAGTTGGGAAAATAGATTCTTACTGTTTGCATGTCTCGGGATGTAGCTGATGAGCTTTTTAAAGCAGCATGTCAATGCTTGCCCATATTGCTGAAATGGGAGGTGACCAAACCCTGACTGAATGGATGACATTGTTGGAACCATATAAATTGGAAAACCAAAAACAATGCATGTGTTTAATGCCCAAAGAAGGCATACTAAAAGTAGAAGCAACATGCCCATATTTTCTAGCCTTCAGAGAACCACATGTCACTTGTTGATCATTGTTTTTTGGACACTGCATAGATAAATTGAGAACATAAAAGAAAGTCACCATAAAGCAATGATGATAAACCTAGATAACCTAAAACCAGCGCCATGGGGTTAAAACCATCCAGCATGTTAGACAAATAAAATAAAGTGGAAACAAAGCATTAACTATAGTTCTAACAATATCATGGAGAAGAATGAGCATTTTCTTGAGGTCATTGCCCTGATGCACAGCGAGATGTGGAAAAGGTTCTTTCATAGCCCGCCTCTTGCTTGGAGGAGAAACAAGTGCCAGGCTTGGTCATGAATACAGGAAGAAGGAACTTGGCTGCAAACTGTTTAAGGGTTTTAAAGTTATAAAAGACTGTTAGAAATGAACTGGCAGGCAGCAAGGGGAGCAATTTAGTGGCATAACGTCATCACATTAGCCACTCTTAGTTGACTGTCTGGCTGTTCTATTTTGAACACTCTGAGTTCTTATAGATTGTTTTCAAATCTTCAAGCTGAGGTTGGACATACCCACACTGCTTTACTGGCAACAGCAGAGAAGAGGTTCAGTGATGGTGGGTTCTTATCCAAGGAAAAACAAGGCCCATCTGTGCTTTGCTTCTGAGCCCAGACCAGTGTTTCTCAACCACGGCAACTTTTAAGATGTTTGAATTCTGGGAGTTGAAGTCCATACATCTTCAAGTTGCAGAGGTTATTGGCCTAGACAGTTGATACCATCACCTGCTGAGGCTTATCTCTTGTGTAATTTTGTGGACTAACTTAATGAGAGGTTATCAAAAATTAAATGAACATCAGAAAGCTCTTTCTGGCTAGGTAGAATCATGGCTAATAATTCAGCCTGTGTGCATGAAAGATGCTCTGCCTAAGATTTTGATGTCATTCTTCCAAGACTTAGAACTAGTGAACAGAACTCTTGACCCATTAGTGCATCAGGAAGTTTATTTATTTGCTTGATTTATTGACTATTATTTGTATTCAATACCTGCAACAACTTGTGTTTTTGGGTTGCTTTGGCTCTGCCAGTTTTCCTTTTGTGGTCATGACACTTTGCCATCATGACCCTTGGCATGGTATACAAGAATGAACATGGGAGATAGCTTAGAAATGGTTCCCACCTTGTCTCTGCATGCGAGGGCTCATCCATCAATAAGAACAGCAACAAGGGAGTAGATTTTGAAAAAACCTTTCTTTTGCAAGAAAAACATTTCTTACAGGAAATGCTTTTTAGATTTGGTCAGAATGCTCTTCATTCAAAGGTGTCTTCTCCCCGCTTCTCAATACAGCCAAATATCAGCCAACTGTACCAGCAGCAAAACATTGTTTAGCCACTGTGGAATCCAGACATTCCTTCACAACTTGTTGATAATTTGCTGCCCAGTTGCCAAGGAGAAACCTTGTTATCTTCCTCCTCTAGTGGTGCCACAAGGACCACCAACCTCTCTTGAGTGGAGAGGTTTTGCTTTATAAGCATATTCTTCTCTGGAGGAATTTTGTTTCTCAATTTTTGCGCAAAAGGAAAATGAGAACATCTCGGACATAGGTCAGACAACGGGCTGTTCTGAGCATGTTTGTGAGTGGAAAGGCGTTCCTAGTAGAAAATGTAACAGCAATCTGTTGAAATAAATAAAACAAACCACCCTGTGTACGTACTCCAAGGAGCAAATGCAAAGAAACAGTGTTAAGGGAGGTGGATTTGGACGTTGCTCCAAGCCCAGACGTTACAACAGTTAAGAATAGCGTGTTAATACGTGCCCTTTCTTCTATAGTCAATGCAAAACAAGTTATTTGAGCACCTAGAAATAGGTGTAGTTTTTAAAATGAGTTTCTGTTTTAACTTGATGTATCCAAATCATCTATTGTTCCCACAAATATTAGTCTTTGAAAGAGAAGCATAAGAAACTGACCCAAATTTATTCTTAGTTGTACCAATTCTTCAAATAAATATTAAAAAAGAATCAACCAGAAATATCCTTTATGTTGTTTTCTTTGATAGATATCGAGCACAAAATGTATTTAAGGAAATCTGTGTAGAAATCTTTAAATTAATCAAAGGCTCTGTGTTTTTAAAATCAAGCTCTTTATTGAAGAATAGCATGATTTAGGTCACTTTAATTCAAGTATAATATGTACTCCAATATAAAGCATATTTAGTTCAATATAAAGATTAGGGATTAATGCTCCAGTTCCGATCAACAGGTCATTTTGACTGCTCTGAGCTGGTCTTGCATGTTGAACAGTCAAGTTATTCAATAAAAGTCTTTTCTAAGAGCTTGAAAGCATGGTGGATGTGAAAATCTGTTGCAAAATCTGTGGAATTTCCTTGGTGTCCATAGCAATAAAAGAACGACCTGCAGGTAATGTCCTTTGCAATCTAAAGATCAGAAGGAAAAAAATTACCATGGAAGATCTCATCACTTTTAATCAACCCAAGAATATTTCAGTAAAATTAATCTCTCAAGAAAGGACCGAAAAAGGTTTTTTTTTTAAACAAAAAAACTTCTGAATCATAAAACGAAAAGATCAGAAGGTTCAGTGAGTACAAGCTTTGGGGAAATACTTTCTAGAGATGTGTGTTTATATCACGCGTCATGAGTGGTACTGAAACTGTAATGGGCAGAAATTCCCAACAACTTTTTAAATGCAAACACATCTATTAAGCGATGGGGCATATTAAGCTTTGCGTGATGAGGTTAGAACAAAAGTATACGGAATGATTTCAAGTTGTTTTCACTGGTTTGCAAAATGACATGTTAATCAGCATTTCTCAGATGTGGGAGCAGTTTTTGAGGGTAGAGAATATGGTCAGATTGTTGGAAAAAAAACCTTTATTTACCCCAGCCACTCCTGAACTGAGCAGAATAGCATAGGTTCACAAATTTGGGCTTGGCTCAGTGCAGTTAATCATTATTTGAAATTGAGCCTGACTCTTTTCCTTACATCATCTGAATTTTGTTATGATTCATGCTCAGAGAAGCATCTTTTGATTGGCTTTCTTCAAAGCCAGTGCAACAGAAGAATTGCTTTCATCAGCATCCCTTTTCTAAACAAGGATAAAAAAAACGCTTCCCTCTTCCTACTTAGCACCAGTATGCCTGGGACAGGAACAAGACAGAGGATCACCCCTACCATTCCTTTTCTACATAAGCACTGGCTCCCAGGAATGGGATCTGCTGTAC